TTGGATGTCCAATGCTTGTGCGAGCCTAAGTTTAAAAGCCCTGGAGCCCTTCCTTGTGAGCGACCTGCAGCCACTGAGCCTCATGGGCAGGTCGTCCCAGGCTCTGGGTCCCAGCCCCACAACCTGTCCTTCGCCGCCTCCTTCATGCTCTGCTCAGGACTTCCTCCCACTGCCCACAGGCTACAAATTCCAGCTTGGCTGCACCTACGGACACCTTACTGACAACACCTGGTGCACCCTGGGGAAGCAGATGCCGGCCTGAAATGGTGTGAACTCTTGTCTGAAACCTGCTTGGTCCCATGCCAGAATGCACAAGGAATAAAGACAAGGAACATGGAACAACATTGCCTTCCTGAGATGCACCATCATCTGATAATATGATGTAGCCTTCCCAGCCAGAACTGACAGGTCTGATAGCTGTGGGCAACCTATCTCCTTCTGAAGGTCTGGCGTTGGTTGTGGTGGAAACAAGATGAAGCCTACAGTGCAGCGTCCCAGCACAGGTAACCCTCAGACCCTTCCCAACGGGCTGAAATCACAAGGCTGCGTAGCAGGGATCTCAATCAGCACCTTTTTTATTAATATGCATCATAAATAAAGAAATAAATAAAGGCGAGACACCTCGTTCTAACGGGGAAATACAAATTAAATATGGTGCAATGTCCGCTAAGCAATGTACAAGCAGGAGGTAACCTTGCAAGACCAGGGCCCCTTGCCATGGGGAAGCCAGCCCAGGCACAATGCTGCAAGCAGTGTCAACCCGGCCAAGGCACCAAATACTGTCATGGCCTTTCATTAACACTGCTCCCCACCTGACAGGCAGGTGATGATCCCCACCACAGCGGGCGGCATGAACATGGCAAGGAAGAGGTTGACTGGCATTGCATCTACCAAGGACCCCAGGACTCCCAGCAGCCCCTTGTGCTCGTGCACAACACTTGTCCCCCCCACCCCACGGCACTGCTCAGCAAGACGAGAAACCCTATGCCAAGGGGAGCACCACCCCTCCCTCCCCAGCTCCCTGGCTCCCTCTGGGAGCACCCCCTTATCTACCTGCCAGGAGCACTGCCCCCAACTCCAAAGAGCATCCCCAGCCCAGTCAGGGACCCTGCCCTCACCCCCTCCCCTCCAACCCCCCTCCACTGAGCATCCCAGGGCTTCCCAGGCACCGGCTCCCTGCTCAGCATGGAGGGCACGGGGCCACCCCCCAAAGCACTCATCTCCACACAGGGTGGCACTACCCATCCTGGACCTACATAACACTGAACATCCACACGCCTTCCTCATGACCCCACGCACCCCTTTGCTCCACACGCACACACGTACCCCATTCCCCCTCCTCTGGCTGTGGCCAGGCACAGCCCCAGCCCTGCAGCGTGGCAGTGTCGGGCCACTTGGCCCAGTACAACCCACCAGGCACCACTGTAACATGTTAGAACAGAGCTGCTCCAGTGTGGGGGAACCTACCTTGCAGCCCCCCCATTAAGCTGCAATGCAACCCATCAGCCCAGCCTTGCAGAGACCTTGCCAACTCACGGTGCTCCCACCCCTGTGGCTGATGATGCCAGGGATGCTGAAGGCTCCAGCCTGCCCTGCCACTCCCGGGGAGGGGACGGCCAGCATCCTGCACCCTCCAGCGTGAAACTGAGCTGGACAGCGGGGCAGCGCTGCCCTGGCAGGGACTGCTTGGGTTCCTGCTATGTACGAGTCCACGGCCTACGGGTGCTGAAGATGGTGTGGGTGGAGAGGGCTCAGGCAGTCCCCGGTGTGGCTGCATGCACGGTGATGCCTGGCAATACGAGGTGCAGCTCGCAGAAGACCCTGGGGGCCGAGTTGGCCTTTGGCAGCTGCACAAGGAGGAGCAAGAAGGAACCACCTACAGTTACTGTATTCTGTAATGGCAAGAAAGGTAAGAAACTAGCAAGAAGCTGTGTCTGTTCCTCTGGCAGGGTGGGCTTCCCCAGAGGAGCCTCAGCAGCCCACGGTACTGTACTTGGCCTCCCCGCCACGTCAGTAGTCCTCGTCCTCTGGGTGGGTGACGTACATGATGGGCACCAGTCCCTTCTCGGAGCCGAGGCTGCACTGCAGCCAGTCACCATCCACCTTGGAGATGACCTGCAGGATGTCCCCCTTGTTGAAGCTCAGCTGTCCTGCCTCGGTAGCAATGTGATGGCAAAGAGCTTTCACCTCACTGCAGGCAGAGGGAGGGGACGAAGGGTTAGCTTACCACAGGACACTTGCCCCGCTGAAGCCCAGGGACCACCATGGGCACAGAGGAGCCAGGAAAACACCCCCTGCCTCCCCATCCAGCCAGGCTCCCAGCTGCGCCCCAGCTCCCCCTCACCTCCAGATTGCAGAGTTGCGGTGGATAGATGCACAAGCTGCATCACTGCCCCAAACCATCCCCTGGTCCACGAGTACAAAGGGGACCAGGCGAAGTGCAACAGGCAGAGCCGTGCCAACCCCAACCCACCACATCCCAGCACCTGCAAGACAGACACATGGTGCCACTCACCAGGGAGGGTGGGGAGACAGCCCCCGGGCCGTCCGCGCCGTGGGGGGCACTGCAGGTGGCTCTGGCTGGGGTGCCTCTGGCTCAGGGGCTGCTTCTCGCCACATGCTTGCCCCAACCGTCTGGGCCACCAGCTGAAACACGGATTTGTCCAAGCTCAGCCAGCCGGAGGGCAACCTGCAAGAAGGAGACAGAAGCAGGTAGCGGCGGGGGGGGAGACATATCGGGGGGCAAGGAGCAGCCGCTCCATGGCAAGGTCATGCCTTAGAGGTCTGGCTCCATGCACAAAATGCACTGTGGTCCCCAGGCTGTCTCCTGGCGGGGAGGGCTCAGCATCCTCCAGACACACCATGGCCTAGACTGGGAAGGACATTTCCAGTAGTCATAAAAGCAGTAAGGGTACAGATGGAGAGGCAGTGAGGGGAGGTCTCAGCTACATGGGGCAACTTCATGCCTCCTCCTCACCTGTTGTGCGCAACAGGGATGACTCCATGTTCTGTTCTCAATATGTGTTTTTGGGAGGGACGAGGTGATGATGGTGGCCATGCAGCAGAGGCCCTTCCCCTGGAGAGGGGACTTAGGAGCTGAAGCAGTGGTAGAGCTCAGGCAGAAGAGGAAAGCCCATGAGGTGGATTGAGCAAGGGTAGGAGCCAAGGGGAACAGTGGTGTGGGAGGAATTAAGGCAGGCTGGCAGGGCTGGGCAGGGGTGACAGACCTCCCTGTTCACACACTGCTTATGGTGTACCACCGTGGTGCAGCCCAGTGATCAGCTATTGGCCTGACTTCCCCCTGCACTGCTGCAACCCCAGGTTAACCAGCCCTCCCCAGCCCCAAACCATCCCTCCCCCTACCTGTTAGGCTGCCTGGCCTCTTTTTGCACCTTCCTGGACCCAAACAAGTGTCCCCACTTGATAGGCTGACTGCCCTCTGATGCACTGGTGCTGCTTTCCTCTTGGGGGGCTGCTGCTGCTGCTCCCACTCTTTGCTGAGTCCCAGTCTCCTTCTCCTTGCTGCGCTTCAGCTCTGTAAGCACTGAGTCTGGGGGGCTGCCCATCCAGAAGGCCCAGCTCCGTTCCTTCACCTCTTCGCTGACCGGTACCTGCTGGGGCTTTTCCAAGGGCTCTTCCATGGGTTCAGGACTTGGCTTGCTGGCAACCTTGGGCCTCTCTTCCAAGGTGCCCTCAGCAATGGGACAAGCCTCTGCACCCTCCACCACCCCTTCGCGGGGCGGTGGGGCCTTGCGGGTCTCCGCTGACCTGGGCACAGTATTAAA